TTCGGAAAGGAAAAAGGATGAGAAACTATGAAGAACACAAAGAAGACATGAGATCAGTGGCTTCTCACACCCAAAACCACCGGATTTCCTTCTCCCTCACGAAGAACACGCACTAAACTCGATTCTGGAGCCTCACAACCACGAGAACAAGTTTTAAGGATCAAGAACGCGAATAAATCAATAATGATCCTTCGATTCCTCTCAATCCTCTCTCAAACTCTTTTTTCTCACTGATTTTCTCTGAAAAATGCAACCCTACGCGGCCCCTCGACTTATATAGTCGAACCCTAGGGCTCTTTTAACCGAACCGCAAACCGAACGATTAAAAACTAAATATGTCGGTTCGATTCGTAACTTGAGTTGATCGACGCACGACCAAAATTCCTAAATTTTGGTTTGCGGACATACATTTCCTACACTATTAGTGCTATAATAGTCTACCAAATTTAATCCAAATGTTTGGAAAAATAATGTTTTGGATAAAAAAAGTTTCAATTTTTTTATTTACCAAAAAACCCTAACTTTTACACTTCGGCCAAAAAGTCTCCAACTTTTATTTACCAAACAAATCTCAACTTTTTATTTATTAAGTAGCTTAAGTTCTAATATTTGTCAACAGAACGTGGTGTCTAATTTGGTACCGTTAACAAACATCTGGGATTTAAAACAAAAATCAACATAAATTGATGCTCTAAATTTTCCATGCAATAATTGGTGTTTTATTTTTAATTTTTTTTGTCAATAGTTGGTGCTTTTAGTTGGCAAATTTTGAAAGTTGAGAATTTAAATGACTTTTTCTCATTTTATAACCGTATTATCATTCTTTTTTCTTATATTTTCCTATTCATCTAGTGATACATCTTCAAAATGAAATGAAGAGATCTATATGATTATGGAGTTTCCTCATGGGATGGTGGGTCTCCTTCTGCCTAGCTTCCACATGATGGCTTCTCTTCACTTTCTAGATAGAATTTTTTTTTTCCGAGAATTATATAACACTACTAAATTTTGCATAGTTTACAAATTCATGTATATTGACATTAATACGGTTCTATAATTTCTGCAATCATATACCATGATATTTTCTGAAATTGTACCAATTTAATCACTGTTATTAGATTTGTCATTTATTTATAACTATATTAAGATCCGCGTTAATACGCGGATAAACAAATTAAAAATTATTAATATAAATAATTTTTTGTTGGTAATCTACTGAATTACAAACATATTTGAAAATACTGTTTAAACATGAGTTTTATGTCGCAATTCATACCATGCATACCCATATATATAAATAAGTGAATAAAATATTCTTATCCATTATGAGATAAAATCACAAAAACCATTTAAATTTTATAGACTTAAATAAAAAATATCATGTAAATAATATCATAAAACTCTATATAATATTTTACAATTAGTTTTATCAAATATCACATATCCATGATTGATAAATATATACCATTGATGTCATTCTTTTTTTTTTTATAGAGATCTATACTCGTCAAATCTTAAACACTCTTGGATTTTAATAGCAATTATATTATTAATTATTTGTTTACCTGTATAAATTTTCATTTTATAAAATTTTGTTTTTTAACATTGAAAAATACCATTACCGTCATAAGTAGAAGATTTTTATTTTCTTTGTGATATTCTATAACTATATTGACAAAATAAATAGGCTTATAATTTTGTTTGTTTCTTTGATATGGTTGTGCATATATAATTTTTTTTCAACCAATCATTTCATTAAAATAAATTCCATCCACTCATTACCCAATTTAGAGTTGTTGCATACATAAGAAAATTCAATCATCCTTGAACGGGATGATCAGGCTAAACAATCGGCCTTACTATTAAGAGGATTGTGCATATCTCAAAATTTTAAATTGTGATAATTCCATAAGA